CTCTTACATTTGAAGCATGCAAAGAATGACTGAATCCCCAGAACATACTGAGATTTTGTGGGAAGCTCATGAATACAGATTTCAGGCAGTTTTCAGTTTTTTTCCTGGAGTCCAGTGTTTGCATAGATGATCCCAGGATTCTGGCACTCATAAACTACTGAACACTGGTTTCAACTTAAAAGTTGTTATCTTGAATAATCCATATTCATACTACTCCTTCCATGCACCAAGAAATATTAAATGTATCATGTGACTGATTTGAGTTTCATAGCAAACTGACAAATGGGTGCAATTAGAGAGAGAGAGGCACACCCACACATACACAATGGACCAGATTTTTGAAAGTACAGTACATACTGTGCTAGATTATGCACGCTTTTTTGCCTGTACCTAAACTTCCATGAGAGCATTCGCAATATTCATATGGAAATCGTCATCTCTATGCATATAGAGCTGTTTGAGCACAGTCATTTTATGTTTATGTGTCGGATCATTTAGAAGTTTAGTCTAAGACTGAGAGCTTGAGAGCTGCATTTTGATTTTTAGCTTTGCCTGCAACATAACCACCTTGTGCCAATTATCTACCCTCCCTGTGCCTCACAGATAAACTGCCCGGGCACTGCCCTAATGCTTTGATACTCCCTGTACCCTGAGGCTTAATTCATTGTTTGCAAAACACCACAAGTACTCAGCTGGACGATGCTGTAAGAAGTGCAAGTTGTATTTGTTTTTATTTGATGTGTCTGGTCTTTCATAACACCATTTGTCTGCATGTAACAGTGTTCAAAGCCAGGTTATGTCCTAGTCATAGTAAGTTGGCATTAAGGTCTTCACTAACGTGGATAGCTTGATTTCTTTTAAATTAACATTACTTACTGATAATACTAGAATATTATGTATGTTTCAATTTGTTTCAGAGTACTGTGCATGTTAGTAAAACATCCCATAACTGCATCTAATAAATGAAATACTTCTCGGGGGGGAGCTTTGCAGTAAACAGCTACAGGGCTTGTTTGTTTTTTAGGTTAAACTCGACGATTCCTGTGTGTGTTTTGTCCCTCTCTACCGAAATAATCCTACTTGCAAACTGTTGCTGTTAACTGATCCAAAGGATAAAAAGACAGGTTAGAATTGGTCAAAATATTTTGAAATTTGAGTAGTTGTATTTTACTTTGAAGATGGTCTGTTTTGGGTTTTGTTTTGAATATGAAGTGGGTTCAGTTTACCTGTCAGGGATTTCTGTTGGTGGGCTACTGATTCGAAGGGAGGATTGACAATCAGGGTTTTTAAATTCTATGCTTAGCTCTTCTGGTAGCTGAAAAATCACCCTGGATAAATCTGAGTTTGTTCAATGGGGTAATATTTTTCAAATTCAGGATGATGTGAAATGTAACGCATCATAGTTTGGATAGAATTCTGAAATCCTTAAACAAGAGCAAATATAAACATGAAATTGTATTAGGTCTTTCTGATTCTTATTCATATTATTTTTAATTTTTTATATCTTAATCAGTCTTAGGTTTAATTGCCTCCTATTTCCAGTACTGGTGTCTGAGGGGTAAATTTGGAGTGAGACCATGCTCAGGAATTGAGTTAAATCCATTTTATTTGGCAGTTCTCCCAAGATACTCTTTAAACTCTACCAGCTTTGCCTTGCTTACTGCTATTAGTGCCGGTGTTTTCCTATTACAACCATGTGTCAGCCTGACAGGGTTACACTGCAGTTGTGTTACAGGCAGTAGAAGTCAGTATGTGCTTATTGGTATTTCTGTTTTATGAGTCACTGCTTAGAGTACCAACAAGCTATTACAATTTGATCAATAATTGTATCTAAGTTTGATCTTCCTGCTCTCAGGATCACAGTATCTTCAGACACAGCCTGATTTCTTCCTATTTACTCTCTTAGGCAGGTTGTTGACTATGGAATGTGAAAAAAAGCAAATATAAAATAGATAACAACTCTTGATATCGCTGTCATTAACAGAAAAATCCAAGTTGCATAGTACCAAAAGCTCAAGTTGTGACCCACCTAGATTAAATGAGGAGTGTTGGAGCTGTTGTGAAGCAACAGGCTATAGAATTTCTGGAACATCTACGACAAAGACTTGAACCTATGCATTGACTCATTGTGTCACTTAGGATTACAGAACACGGGAAACCTCTTAAACTTCCAGCTTCCAAATGTGGCAGCAAACTAATGACATCTGTCATTAAAAACAGACTTTTTTTTTAAAAAAAAAAAAAAAAAAAAGATAAGCTATAAATTATGCCTGAAAGGCTTTAATAACCAGTATTTGTGATAATACAATAAAGGCAAGACAAAGAAGTTTAGCACTCTATGTTCAGTTCTAAAGTGTGTCAGGTAATGATTTTACGCTCCTAGAAGTGGATACTAGTAGTGTAACTAAGTGTTCATTGTTCAGTCCAAACCCTGTAACTAGGAAAATTCTTATTAAGAACAAAAAAATAATCTGTGGTTAGAGGTGAACTGTGCAAAGTTTTCCAGCTCCTCTTACATACGCTTTCAATTGGACTTTTGCTAATGGGTTGTGATTCACATAGTTGAAGGTAGGAGACCTTTCCAAGTTACAAGTGTAGTCAAAAGACTTTCAGATCCCTCTAAAACTATTGATAAAGAATTACTTCCTTGACTGTAATTTATATATTCTATTAACATTTTTCTGAAGAGACACAGGCACTGGTGTGATAAAGGAGAGAAGCATCTACACCAAAGGTCAAACTTGCTCTATGAGTGCAGTTGTGCACACCTACTGACTCGTGTTCAAAGGAATGTAGTTCACAACAGCATTAAGTTAGGCTGCACAAGAGGAATGGGGATCTGTAACAACTACAATGCAAAAAGAAAGAATTATTAAATAAAGGCAGGTGAAAGCAGTGCATTTAGCACAAATACTCAGTTAAATGATCTAATAGTATTAAGAACAACAAGTGTTAATGAGGTACACAAGAGAAAAATTAGTTCCCACAGGAACAAGTCCACATTGGAGCCTAAATTATATGATAGCTATCTACATTAAAAGCTTAAACCTAGCAGAATAAACACCTTATAATATTATAAACAACAGGCTGCCTGACTGCCTTGACCCCCTTGCAAAACTTTAACATGAGTCACTAGCCCACAGTCACAGGAAAAGTCTCACAGGGATCAGTTAAGTGTCGTTATTTAAGTAGGGCCTATATCACCTGGCTTTTGATATTTCCTTTTAAAAGTATGATGTAAAGAATTTTACTGGAAGTTCTTTGTTTCTCGATTTTATATGCTATAAACATGTGGCCAGCCTTCCTACACACATCAAATTTGACTGATGTGATATTTTTTTTTTCTTTAGATGAGGTTTAATAAATTTTCATTAGTTCTCTAAAGCCTGCTGAGGTGTGTGTGTGTGTGCATATCTATACACGGGGGTATACACGTTTGAAGTGTTTTGTCCAAATACTTTTCCCACAGTTCAACAGATTTGGAATTGACTGTTAAGGCAGCAGACTGTGTTAATGTGGCGAGTCCATCTGGATTTGCTTACCTATATATAACCTTTTGTTCTGACCAGTGAACGGATCAAATTGTTTCAAAACCAATTCCTTCAGAGAAAAGCAATATTTATTAACTCAGTCATTGTTCCTTAAGGACATGGGCAGAAAGTTAAAACGCTAAACACACTGCATGATTTTTTTTTTTTCCCTCCCTTGGGCATTACACTTTTCTTGTGAACTCAAGTTTCATCCAGATGGGAGAGGCAAACAATCTCTTCGCTTTCTCATGTGCTGTCTGGTATGTCTGCATTTTAGTTTTACTTCACACCAGGAGTGCTCTCAGAAGCAATTTCCTGTTTGTCCCCACGTACTGTGCTTCACTTCATATCAAGGAGCAATCTGAGAGTGTGTGAACTGGATTACTTTTGGCTTAAATGAAATTAGAGGATGCACTCCAGAAGCACACTGATGTGGCCCAACCTCTGATGGGCTTTTAGTTTTCAGCACCAGGCTGGAACTGGTGAACATCAGGTTCTCCACACCAAACGTTTTGCTCTGTGAATTCGGTTTTGTTAGTGTTAACCTTGCTAATGCAAACATGGCCCACTGATGTTTCCTCTTGCAATCCATTTGGACATTTCTGAAGTCCAATGGGGAAGGTAGCCAAGGGTGTCCCAGGATACGCTGAGGTAGAGGTGCTTTACTGAGAAGCAATTGGAAACAGAGTAGAAGATGCAACTAGTAAGTGTGTAGGGCATGTTCAGTTGTGTACTTCTCAGGTCCTGGTGTGAATAGTAAAGCAGCAAGAAGTTAGAATCCTCATTGCTTGATTCTGACACAGCTCACATGATGCTCTGAGACCTTATAATATCGTTCCCAAGAGGCACAACCTTCCTCTGTTCTGGTGGTTCAGGTGACTGGTGACTGCCAAAACCCTGGCTAGAGCCTTTTCAATTTAGTTCTCTGCCTCTGGCCCTGACACCATCACTTCCTTCAGCTTTGCTCTGACTTCTCCACCTTTGCTCCTGGTTGCTCCTCAACATCCCTCACCCCCTGAAATGAACTCTCTACAATGCCTTGACAGTTGTTGGGGTTAACCACACACCTGGGCAGTACCTTAATCTCAGTGAGAAAACTGTGTATCTTGTATGACTTATGTTCCTATGTGATGGGATTCCCTCTTTCAGCTTCATTTGTATTTACCTCTATAATGGTGAAGTATTTAGTAGATAAAATGATGTATATAATACTTAGGAAATAATATCCACTGCAATGCACTTACTTTCCCATAGTTCCCCCCAAAATATTGTCAATCTAATAATTTATGTATGAAAGTTTCTAATAATTTAGAGTCTGAAAAAATACTGAATTTAGCAGCCTAGCTACAAGTTTGCCTGCGAAGAGCTTTAAAGTTTGATGGCATTTAGTTCTTGAACATAGGTTAAAGAGGGGTTGATTCCAACAGAGATTTATATCTGATCATCTCGATCAGGTGGGCTGTCCAGGGGTGTTGTGTAGCTTGTGGTCTGAAATGGCATGCATATTTCAAAGGGAAAATGTGTCTGGTAGCTTTTCCATAGGACTTGGTCTTGGTTGAGAGCATTTTTAATTTATTTTTGATGAGCTGTATGTTCTGTTCTGTTATTATATCTATACAGATATTTTTATGAGAATGTAAATTGTGTTGTAAGGGCTTACAGAGCATAGCATGGGTGATTAACATCTTTATAACACTAAATAAACATACTCTATTGTGGCATTTTCTGTACGCTGTATATAATAATTTACAATAACTGTTGGATGCTATGGAACATTTATCACAAGACACTTGCAACAAATCACTGAGTAAAACTCAAATTGTAGAAGAAAATGTAATTGCTTGTAGGGAAGATATCTATCTTAGATACTTGAATGGCTGCCATTACTGCAGCATCTGCATGCCTCCCAAGCTTTAATGTATTTTTTTCAATAAAACTTGATAAGAGCCTTCAATAAGGCTCTTATTCCATTTTAAAGACAAGGAACTGGGGGGACACAGCTATTCAGGGTATGTCAGTGTTGCAGAACACAGCTTAACGTAGGATCTCTGAGCTTGCTCCGTTATCAGAGCTGACCTAGGCTCGATTGCATGGAACTACTTGTTGGGGAAATTTACCATTCTCCTTCCAAGGCAGAAATCTGTCAAAAGCAGCTTCTGTAAGTGTGTCATCAATCTGCAATACTGCTAAAGTTAAGGTAAAGGTGACTTTATCTAAGATAAAGAACTGTTTTATTCTATATTTATTAAACAAACTTACATTACATCTCCTATATATATATATATAGCATTGTCTTTAATTTAGTTTGCGACTGAAGGATGTGTCTCAGCAATTCAGATGAAGGCTGGGGAAAAAGAAATACTAAGCTGGATGTTGCTTTAATTTTTCTGCTTTACTCTGTGTGTAGAGTCCTGATGCACGCATTTCATTCAAATAATTGCACACCAGTATGGGAACATTTGGCCAGCATAGCCTAGAAAGTAAAAATATAATCCAGACCTGAGTTGGGAAGGGATCCATGTTTTCCAAGCGAAAGGAGACATTTCATAATCACAATTGCATTATGCTTAGTGCCTAATTCAACTCAGTACTGTATTCCAAATACTCGTAGTGCTATGGAATTGTGTCTTTCACAGGCTCTCAGCTTCTTGCAACACTCTGAATATGTTTGTCTGACTGTAAGTGATCAAAGTACTGAGATTTAGCAAGCTCGTGCTCACAGGGCAAGCCACCCAGCTGAGCATGTGTGCACTCCATTAATCGTGAACTGAAATATACTGGACTTAATCTTGCAATTGCAAGATCAAGCACATCAAGTCTTTCAGTTGCAAGATCACTGTGATCATATACATCATGATTCACAGGGTTCAGGTGGTGTGTGTAATGCTGTCAGCAATAACTTGATCTCTTATGATCAGGTGAACGTAACCAAATGTCTTGGAAAGATCAAGACTGGGAAAGGAGAGTGAAGGAACATGTGGGCTCACAAAACATTTTTGCATTTGAAATAGTGTTCCTCAAAGTTGGTTATAAAATGAAAATGAGAATATGGGGAAGCATGGATGGATTTAACTGCAGACCAGATGTTGACTTGAAAAATGATAACAAAAAGCCAAGTACATATGTTTGTGTGAAATCTGGAGAAATGTTTTTCCTTCAAGGAAGACATCCATATAGATAAGGTTGCTTAAGTAATGTGATGTGACAGTTGCCATGTCAACTAGTGTTCCCTTCCACACATTGAAATTATTGAACAGCACAGTAAATATTCTATAAAAGTAGCTCCTTACAACATGGTTATGCATCTTCCTATTTTCCTTAAAGCTTTTTAAAAACTTTTCTGACCTTTGCTCTGTGTCTCATATGTGTCTGAACTATGTGCCAAAACTCTGTGCAGCTCCCTCTAAAATCAGCATTTGGCCCGTTATGTCCCCTTTGTCTGACTCAGCTCCCTTTGTAGCCTCATGTTTGGTGGATGTGTAATGGAGCAGTGGCTGCTTGCATTTGAAAGCAGAGTGAAGGGATTGAGGGAACAGATTGAATCCATCACAGAAAAGAGTATGAAACTCCCATGCAAGTAAGTGCAGAATATTTAATGAATTGAATCTGGTGCTATAAACAGGCATCTGCCCTTGCGTGCAATACTTCCTTCATTGTTAACCCAGTACACAAAGTGTAATGCATTTTGGCACATGCTTTAATAATTTATTTGAAATAGAAGTTAGCCAAGTGGAATCTCCAGCCTTAAAGCCAGTGGGAGCTGGTAGAGGCTGAAGCAAAAAGGGAAACTAACCTGTGTGCATCAGAGACATTTGTATAACCTGAGGCTAGAACAGGTAAATGATGAGTCCTGTTAAAGCCATTTCACTTCCTTGTGTGTGAATTTGTCTCGAACTCAAAGAGGGGAGGTTTAGATTAGATATTAGGAAGAAGTTCTTCACCGTGAGGGTGGTCAGACACTGGAACAGGTTGCCCAAGGAAGTTGTGGATGCCCCCTCCCTGGAAGTGTTTAAGGCCAGGTTGGATGAGGCTTTGAGCAACCTGGTCTAGTGGAAGGTGTCCCTGCTGATGGCAGGGGGGTTGGGACTGGATGAGCTTTAAGGTCCCTTCCAACCCAAACCATTCTATGATTCTATGGTTTTTAACTTTCTTATGTTTGTCCCTAGTTGGGTAGCTTAGAAAACCAGTAGGCAGTGCACTCTCTTAGGACTCAAGAGGTGTGAACACCATGCTGTTCTTTACAACATACTTCCTGTATTGTATTTTGTCTTTTTGTCTAAAAATGGGGATGAAGATAGTAAAGCTACTGGTGTTCTTGAGTGCTCCTGAAATGGTGGCCAAATACTTTCTTTGGATAATAAGGTCTTTTTGCTGAAAGATTTGCTGCTTGGTGTGTTGGTGGTCATAAATGATCAAGTTTCTGTCTTTATTCTAAAACCTAATCTAAACCCTTAAAATCTATTCTGTATCCTTTGAAATGACCCCATGTTAAACCTTTTCTTTCTGAACAAGACTTGGGAGCAATTTCTGTGTCACTGTTGCTGCTTCAGTCTTTTTCTTGTAAATCAAATGGCAGGCAATGAATTCTGTAGATGAACATGTAGGAGTAGGGTTTAAGTATTTGTTTCTGCATATGTGATAAATTCAGGAAGGATGGGAAGAAGTGGAGTGCAAGTTCTGCATTCCACCTACACAAGGGCTGGTCTGACTTAGGTGTAGGCTGGTCATACACTTTTGCTTCAGGGCAAAGTGTATCTGACTTATGTGTGCGTATGTCTGTCCTTTGTTGATAGAAACCTCTCTATATCCATTTTGACTTCTGTGAATAGATGTCCATGCAGAGATTTAGGAGTCTCTGAAGGTACAGAGTCTCTAAAGGCACAGATATATAGAAATTCAAGCATATATATTTGATAAAGCAGATGTGAAAACTTCTGTGTTTGACTTGTGTGGGTGCAAATATGGGCATGTGTGCATGTAGGCAGGGGAAAGTCTGAAAGAAACTTCAAATATATAACCTTTAGCTAGGTAGCTCTCTCTGTCCCAAATGCCACTCAAGCTTACTGTGCTCCTGAACAGATTTTATGCAGAAAGTGCTTTATTCATATGGCACACTGACTGTCAGACCAAAGTCACATCAATTCCTGAGAAAAATTACCTTCACTTGATGCCTCGTGCAGTACTGAAAATTGGATATTGAGGGACACGGAGGTGAAATTGAAATACAAACGTTGTTCTGCTGTCTCACAGCAGATCAAACTGGAGTCAGCTGGAGGGAGAAGTAGATCTGAGGCTGCTTGTGGAAAGGTTCAGAACCAACTTTGTGTTTATTCGCAGGTAATGTGTTCCCCCTGTCTTTTTCTTGTTGTAGTTCTGGCAGTTTATCTGAACCAGTGTTGGTGGCCTGTTGAAGATGTAGTAAAGACGGCTGATCCTTCGAGAGATGGGCTAATTTTGGTAAGGATGCTATTTTAAACAGTTACCTTTACCCTGGAATTTCCCAGCTTAGAACAATCCTACATAATTTTCTCTGGTCTCCTGTAGCTAATGTTTTAGAACCTGTGTGGTGTGGGCTATGTGGCTCCCCGAGTGCTTCACACGTCTCCCGTTGCACAGTGACATGCATATTAACCCTCTATAAATAATTTTCTGCGTGCAGTTGATGATTCATCAGTGGGATTTATTAGGTTTGGTTTTTAGTTTACCTACACTGCCTACTAAAGGAATAATCAGATGAACTGAATTGCTGCATTAGCAATAACTCTTCAAGTTAGCGTTGCTTAACTATCTGGTGGGAGGTGTTACTGCCCTTTGGAACAATGTCTTATCTAGATAGTTATGATTTATTTTTTTTGCCTTAGATAATCTTTATATTGTGTTCTTTTTATGAAATAGTTGTTATTTAATAGATTCTATATCTGTAATTCTTTTTCCAAATCAATTATCTTAGTAGGATACAACTATTTCTTTGTAATTTGAGAGATTTGGGTAGCCTGTAGTCTGTTTTCAAGTAAGAAGTTAGATGCCTACTGCAGAGCTTTGTGTTGCCATGAGGCTATTAAGTCAGTTCTGTTTTCTACCCAACCCTCTGTGTCCAGCTTTGGTCCTAATGTTTCTGGATTCTGTTCCTTTATCATCTTTCCATCTGCCATACATAGAGTTTAATTATTCACTTAATTAAGTGGGCTTTTTGGGGGTAACTGAACTGGAGGGATTTTGAGATACTAATCCTTGCAATACAGAACTTGGGGCAGAAACACCGACTTTCAGGTTTTCAAGCAGCTGCTGTATCAACAGAGAATTAAAAAATATCTGAAAATAGAAAACTTTCCCCTCCTAGCTCACTGGTAGGAGGTAAGTTGTCCTTATTTGTGGAAACTCTCACTTTCTTTTTCAGCATTCATTTCAGCTTGTTGGCACCACTTTTTACTTTGATGACCAGTGTGATCTTGTTTCTTTATATTTCTCCATCTCCCTGTCCTGTTGGTTGTCTAGTAAGAAGGACGGCATAAAAACAGAACTGTTCATGTAACACTTAGATTATAAAATGTTTGGGATAGGCTGTATTTATTCTCTGTTTTGTGTAGTGTTTACTTCAGTAAGATCCTGACCCACAAAAGTTCTTTGATGCTATGTCAAGACAGGTAGTGGGGGAGAAGTGACCAGGATAACACAGTGAATCCTGACTTTATTTCGCTTTTGGGTAGAATTAGATTGCTTTGATCCTGTTTCCAAATCTGTGACTAGTTCAGTGTGACTACAATCAAGATACTTCTTTTCCTGCTGCTTTAGAATTCCCCTCTGTGACAACAGGAGATATATCAAGCTTTATAAATTGTTACTAAATTATTCTCTGCCCTCTGGATAGGGGGTAGAACACTGGGAAAAACTGTTTTTATTATTCTGTCTGAACCAATTAATGAGGTATTTTCCCTAAATTAAGTGTACATGTTCCTTGACCTCCTTCTTCCCAGCCACTTTTAATTTTGAAGCCTTTTATGAAACGCAAAATACTATTCGCTGCTTCATTTTTCTTTGGTCTCTTTTTGTTTGTTCTCTAAGGTCCAGACATTTGGAGAAAGGATTGTCCTCTTTGTTCTGAACTACATTATTTTTGGAATGCTGGAAGGGAGTTCAGCTAATGATGCATTTTTTCTACCTCACTCTGCCACTGAGTGTGCCAAGATAGTCTGGAGAAATGGCGAGGCTGTTGCCTTTTACTCGGTCAAGAGGAAAGGTAAGGTCATTTCAGAGACACATTTCCATTGGTTCCTAATAGCTAGAAATGTAATCCTTTTGTTTATCTTTCAGTATTAATAATCCTGGCTCTCATTTACATTTTTATATCAAATCTCTCTCAGAATGAATCTAGGGAACAAACTTTCCTAGAATTTGGAAGACATCCATATTACTTTCATTTAAACATGATGGCTCCAAACTCTATTCTCAGTTACACTGAGTGATCTGAGGTACTGGCTTATTCCAATAAAATATGCTTTAATGCAGCAGCCAAGTAGAAGGTCGTACATCTAGGAACAAGGAATGCAGGGCCTACCCACAGACCGGAGGACTTCATCCTGGAAAGTGATAGCTGAAAGAAGGAGTGCAGTTCACAGGGGAAAACCAGTGTGTCAGGAGTGGCTGGTGGCGAGAAGTGGCAATATCCTTGGATGTGTAAGGAGCAGTGGCTGGGTCGTGTAGAGGAAGGTGTATGCACTAGATCAGTCCTGGAATGCTTTGTCACTTGTGGTGCTCCCAGTTTAAAGGATGATTAATTGATTAACTGGCATGGAAAAGAAACAATGTATTTGATTCTTTAGGGATACTTGCACAAGTATAAGCTTTAGTGCAGGTCTTTTATTAAATGTAGAGTTTGTATTAATGCAGGTACATTGCTATTAAACAGTCTAGAGGAAAAAATGCTTCATTAAAATAACTCCAGGTATGCAGTTGAGTTTGTAGCCCCATTTAGAAACTGGTTAGCAGTCTGTGTTTAAGATTCACGGGTGTCATCTTGATACCAGCAGCTTAGGTGTGAAGAAGTTGGTATCTTTGAAGGTAAATGTATTGTTCAAGTCAGCAATCAGTAGCCATCTGTCAAAACAAGGAGAATAAGAAACAGCTCAAGAGCTTTACAGATATGGATTGCTTTCATAGAATCATAGAATGTTGTGAGTTGGAAGAGACCCAAAAGGATCATCGAGTCCAACTCTTGCCCTAGCATAGGACAGTCGCAAGATTCGGACCGTGTGTCTGAGGGCCTTGTACAAATACTTCTGGAAGCTTGTTGGGCTTGGTGCCATGACCACCTCCCTGTTCCAGTGCTCCACCACCCTCTGCCTGAAGAACCTTTTCCTAATGGCCAACCTAACCCTCCTCTGCCACATCTTCCTGCCATTTCCTCTGGTCCTATCGTTGGTCACCAGAGAGAAGAGGCCAGGACCTGCCCCTCCTCTTCCCCTTGTGAGGAAGTTCTAGACTGCGATGAGATCTGGAGGACAGTCTGACGGTGCCTTCTCTGATAGAGTGCCAAAGGCCAGCAGCAATAAGAGATCTTCTGCTCTTTTGCTGCTTTGGGATGTGCAAAATCCTTATCCACGCTGAGATGTAGCTGGTACACCACTGTGCTGGTACAGTGCTACTGTACTATCAGTGATGAATCATGTTGCAGCCTATGATAAAGGAATCTTGTATATATCTGTGAATATGCTGATGAACTGGTTTGTAATTGGCAAATTACAATTGGCTTCAATTGCCACAGTACATTTTCCTTTAAGTCCGTAAATATTTCTGAGCAAAGCTTTTGGAAAGAAACACTTGTATGGGCTGCAATGATTCATGCTTCAGTAAAATAAATTTGCACAGTAGTCTGTTATGGGTGGAGTATTAGCCAAGTTGAAACTGTTTCTGAGCAAGTTGAGAGTCACAGTTTGGTTTTAAACCAGGTCCACATAAAATACAAATTCTTCAAGTCCAGCTTTGTCAGCATCTGTCTTTTGTTGCCAGTGTTTTTTTTTCTCTGGGCAGCTATATTTGTTAGTTTTTGGCCTGTGTCACAAATTACTTCAGTCTCTTGCCAAAGCCTTTTCGGGAAGCTTGAAACTGATTGTTTTTGCTACTTTTTGCTATTTACTGTATGCATTTAGAAAATAATTCCTCTTTCTGAACTTCTGTGATTTCAATTTCATACCAGCCATGCTCTGACTGATCCTATTCTCTCTACTTTCTAGAAGAGCCATGGATTTATTAGGCCCCAAACAGGCTAAGATAAATATATTCTCTTAGAAGTTGTATTTCACATGGATACTTTAGATTTTTTTTTAAACTTTTATTTATTTTAATCATAATGTAATTTCTTTTTCTTTTTACTGTCCTGGTCAGAACATTTAAGTAGGAGCAGCTTTATAAGGACTTTATATTGTGCTGGACCTCTGTTACAGCTTCTGGTCCTAGGAAGAAATTATTTTCCTCTGTGGCCACATGTGATTCTGATTCCTTTTATTTCCATGCTGTACAATTACCTGGCTATTCTTTATAGTTTTATATTTTTTCACTAGGTAATTGAGAGTCTCGTGCTGATGTTGTATTCAACTCTATTTCTCATCTGTGAATTTTCCATTATCTACAGTATGATAAAGAACATACTTCAGTGGAGCCAAATAAGCCGGAACAGATCTGTGGAGCATGGCTATATCAAACATAAGTCATCTGGGTGAATCATAGAAACAGTGACCAAGTAGGAGAGAGTCTGTTTTGTCTTTGCTACAGATTTAGTATGCTATTACACAAACTAAATTTTCAATGGTCTTCAGTGATTCCAATTAACTGTCTTGGCAATATTGTAAAGTCATTTCCATCCAGTTCCTAGGTGGCCCGTACAAAGTGAACTTGGTAATTTTGGTCCAGTTCCACACATCCATCCATCTTACGAACATCCTTAACTGGATCTCTTTTCATAGTCTAACTAAAGAGGGACAGATGGTCTTGAGCACCTGCCTTGCTCAGAGATGTAGTAACTGCAAGTCAGGGTTTTGAGACAATTTGGCAACTACTGACACTGGCCATCCTGCACCTGTTGTGTCGATAAACAGAAGACTCATTCTTCAAGGCTATCACTTTCCGTGAGCATTAGACACCTTTATTAAGACAAAATTTATTCATGACTACACAGATCATCACCCTAGCTTCTCTGGTATGTGCCTATTCCTGTCCAATGACAGGCATGCAGCATTTACCACTGGGTATACTAAAGATTGATGAGACGTACTAAGCCACTAATGAGGCTGATAAGACACTTTGTCACGTGCCAAGATAAATGTCTCCAATTTTATCTATGTCTGTGGCTTCCATATTCGACAGCTGAGGAGTTAGACCTCACTGAATGTAGCTACTTAAAGGTACAACAGGAAATGAGTTTTCTGTCCTTGTTCCTTTCTTTGCAGGCAGCAACCTGAAAGTGAAATATTTTGCAGAAAGCCTTCATATAGATCCTTTGGTTTTGAGATCTGTTTTATATTATTTTAAATATTTCTTTCAGATTTTTTTCTTGGTGTGCTTTAAACCTGTGTGAAAACCTCAAAAAGAATGTGTTTTGTGTAGTGATGTAGGATTAATGACCATGGATACTGACACTATTTTTTTTGTGCAATGAGACCATGTAATTCCCTGAAAGTTTTTATTTGCTGAGAATTAGTAATTACTGAAAATGGACTTTTGCCACTTTCACATAAATGTCAGGAGAGTGTAGAAGATTCATCATGCAGATAAATCCGTAAGAAAGTTGGAGGATGCTGTGAGCCCAGATAGTCTTAGTCCCTTTAAGAATAAAACAGAACAAACTCATTTTTTTATATACAAAAAAAAGAGACATCAGTTTTTTTTCCCTACTGTTATGTGTTACTGTTTCTGTAAGACAGGAACCGCGCACTTGTGGACCAAGCTGTCTGCGGTACAAAAACCAAAGGAGTCAGATTGCCAAAGCTTGTCCCTTCCCAAGTTCACGGAGTCCCTTTTGTCAGAACTTAGTAGTAAAAGTGTGGAGAAAGATAGTATTCTCTGTGCCGTGAGTCAAATCAGCCTTAACAAAATTGGGTCCTCTGAGAACTCTGTCCAACATGCAGTTGAACCAGGAGTAAACTCGTGGTTGGTTTCTCATTCATTCATTAGAGATGCTCCACAAATCACAGTTTTGGAGCACCTGACTGCAAAAACTGTAAACTGATATAAAGTAGGCAGCAAAGCAACCCTGGCCCACTCTGCTTTTTGCTACCCCCAAAGCCTTAGAGATGGCCTTTGGAAATTGCTTCCCAAGCTAAAATCCATTTCACACCTTTCTTCATACAGGTCTTTGCACATTTCTTTTAACACTTTGGTGGGCCGTGTGGTATTCCTTAGAAATAGATCCCTAAAAAGATAATAGGATTTTATTTTTTCAGTGATTACATACATTTCTTTAAGAAAAAAATTATAAATCAGAATTGAAGTTAACCTGACAGACAATTAGCTGAAATCTTGTTGGGTAATTGCTTTTCTCTCCCTCTGTTTTCTAGCAATAATATTTTTAATCTGCATTTCTGAGGCAGACTGAAGGTTCTGGCTATAATAAAAATTAAATGACTACATACCAGTCAAGACATGAATTCATTTAATTTTATTGAAGCCAGAACCTTTGTTCCCTTTCTCATATACAAACTCACACAATGGGTTGACCTTGGGTTCTATTCAGCAGAAATACTCCCCACCCTTTACACAAGCACTCAGCCTGCTTAAGGCCTG